CACCATGTTGCCCAGGCTGGTCTCAAACTCTTGACCTCAGGTGATCCACCCGCCTCGGCCTCCCAAAGTGCTGGGATTACAGGCTTGAGTCATTGTGATTGGCCTCTTTTTTTTTTTTTTTGGAGACTGATTCCAAGCTGGAGTGCAGTGGTGCGATCTCGGCTCACTGCAGCTTCTGCCTTCTGGGCACAAGCGATTCTCATCTCAGCCTCCCGAGCAGCTGGAGTGGCTGGTGCGCCACCACGCCGGCTAATTTTTGTGTTTTTAGTAGAGATGGGGTTTTGCCACGTTGCCCAGGCTGGTCTTGAACTCCTGAGTTCAAGCAGTCAACCTGCCTCAGCCTCCCAAATGTTTTTCCTTTTTTAGTTGGAGTCTCGCTCTCTCGCCCAGGCTGGAGTGTAGTGGTGCGTTCTCAGCTCCCTGTAACCTCTGCCTGCTGGGTTCAAGTGATTCTTCTGCCTCAGCCTTTCAGTGTAGCTGGGATTACAGGTGTACACCACCACACCTACCTAATTTTTGTATTTTTAGTAGAGATGGGGTTTTACTACGTTGGACAGGCTGGTCTTGAACTCCTGGCCTCAAGGAATCTGCCTGCCTCGGCCTCCCAAAGTGCTGGGATTACAGGCCTGAGCCACCGTCCCTGGCCCAACTGTCGTTTCTTTAAAATCTCTGTAGTCTTGTCTTTTTGTTAGGGTAAAAGGATAGCTCAGAGCTTCAGAGTAAGAGCAGGAATAACCTAAGAACTGTCTGTGATGTTTGACTAGCAGTGACATTTTACTGCCATTCGTATTCACCCTGTGAGATCTGGAAAACACGGAAGGGAGGATGCAAGGAGCTGTAGAATGACCTTGGGGGAAGAAGCCACTTGGTGAAACTTGGCAAACACCCGTGTTTGAGGGGTCACCCAGCGTTGTCATGGCTGGGCTGAAGGGGATGGACTGAAGACTTCTCCTGTTTGTTTGTTCTGTTGTAAATCAGGGCCCTGAGCAGAATGCAGAACAGAATGCAGTTCCGTTAGAATGCTGGCTTTTGTGTGGAGTGAGAAAGGACCGTGAGTGTGGTGGTCAGTTTCCAGCCTGACAGCTCCTAGACTACCATTTGCCAGGACTTTGGCTTGTTTACTTTGACCCTGGGAAACTGATGACTGTTCCAAGGAAAACGATGCCTTGCCCGGGCAGTGGCTCATGCCTATAATCTTGGGGCCGAGGAGGGTGGATCACAAAGTCAAGAGATCAAGACCATCCTGGCCAACATACTGAAATTCCATCTCTACTAAACTACAAAAATTAGCCGGCTGTGCTGGCGCACGTCTGTAGTCCCAGCTACCTGGGAGGCTGATGCAGGAGAATCACTTGAACCCGGGAGACAGGTGGAGCTAAGGTTGCGCCATTGCACTCCAGCCTGGCGACAAAGCGACACTTGCTCTCAAAAAAAAAAAAAAAAATGATGCCCTAGCCGGGCACCATCCTGACGGCAGGTGTGCTGCTTGACTCCCCACAGGGTAGGTCCCACCGAGCGGTACTCGGTTTCCAGGAGGGTTTTGGTTTTGGCGGCTGCCAGGCCTGAGGCCTTCCACAGAGACAGTGAGTCTACAATGGACACCGTCTGGGAAGCGCAGCCCAGGCTCCTGTGCTGAGTCAAGTGTGAAGAAAGTTGCACAGGTACCATGGCAAGAGACTGAGGCACAATCTGTCCCAGCATAATAAATAACTGATGGCTTAACAGACATGACACCAAATAGATATTAGATTCAATCACATATTCAGTTACATAATCAATCTTATTACATCATTCTCCATTAGTCTTCAGTATTATAGTGTAGGAATGTTTGAGTCTTATAGTCCGGACATAATCGGGAGAAATATAATTTGGAACTGAAGGGACATTGTGAGAAGTGATCGGGAGGCGAGAGTAAATGCCTC